ATTAAACCTAAGAATAATTTACCAATATACAAACACAGTAGCGCACCTTAAGATACCGATAACTACTATTTATAATAGAGTTGAGCAATGGTTCTATGTTTACAAAGGCTGTAATAAGAAAGTGGATAGAGATGTTAATAATAAGTGTCCAAATGATAAATGTTGTAGAATCGTCATGATGTAGTACCAATGTTAAGTGATATCCCTTCTTCATGAAATAAATATATCAAAATTAAATATTAATATTATAATCTAAAATGAATTGATAATAAAAAATGTAATGTATTTAGCTCAGATCCTTATAGAAAATGACACAGACATAGCAAAGATAATATTATGACATACATAAATTCTTATTGGATGCACAATAGAAGAATTCATTGTAGAGAAAAAGAGGTAGTTCCTAACCTTATTTAAGTAATAAATTAAAAGCGCAAAAAAAAATTCATATATATGAAATTAACATTTATTCTTATTGAAATAGAAAAAATCAAAGTCCGTATTGTCAGAATTTTGTGTTGAACATAAGAAATATATTCAACTTCTTTATGAATTTAGACGAGAAGACAAAAGATGAATAATCCCAAAAAAAGATAACATGCTCCAGCCTTATATCACAGTCAATGTAAACGATGAAGACACTACTCTAAAATTTTCTAGGAAAAAGATAAAGGTGAAGAAGGATTGATCTCGACTCAATAAAAGAAAAAATAGAAGCAACAAAAGATAATGTTTTGTGAATTCTTATAGAATAGTTTAATATTTTAGTAAAATTAGGAATCTTTAGAAGAGATTTTCATAAACTTTTTTAGTGCTTTCATATGCATATGTGGATGTTTTTATCATATAAAAGTGTACTAGAGTTAGCATTAATCTTTAGTTTATGATTTTTTTCATTAACTATTTTTTATCATTTTAGCCCTCTTTAAATCAATCATCTTGGCTCGTTGACTTTATTATTCATCTTCCTTTTATAATATTATTTTTTCAAGTGTTTTCACTTTCATAACACTATACTTCCTCAGGTCAAGCTCTGTTTCCTAGCGATCCAAATGAAATAAAAATTTAAATTGGATTTATATTATATTTATCTTTTGACAATTCAACTATCAACATAAAAATTTAAACTGAGTGTAGCTTATTCAAACAAACATTAATTAAATAAATAATCAAAGTGTAATCGAGGAATAAGTTTTAGTAAGAAAATAAACCAAAAGTACTTAAACTAAAGTAAGCAAAAAATTATCAAAGTATAACCGAGGAATAAATTTTAATAAGAAAATAAACTAAAAATACCTAATAACAGTATTTAACCACGTGCATTGCACGTGCATAAAGATCTTCTTTTACAATTTAGGAAAAGGAGAACGTCAGAGAAAACTTCGGAACTGAGAGATCTTAAAAGGCATGCCATGAGCACATGTTTTAATTTTTACGTGCCAAGTTTAAATTTTAATTAGCCATAAATAACTCTAAGAATATATAAAATTGACTAAGGAAAGATGGTTTGATTATAACTTTCTTACCTCGCTCCTGCCAACATCCACGATCCTTTCCTCAAGAACATCTGCATCTTCTATCCCTTGATTCTGAAGCAAAGAGACGGTAGTAATGGTAGTAGCACGTGTTACGTGCAAGTCATCAGTAATAACATACGTCGCTGCTTCTTTCAGAAAAACGCTGTTCTTCGCGTTATTCTCCTGTTTTATCCAGCTGAAATATTGATTCATTGCCTTCCCACAGAGGCAGGGAGTACCGCGAAACGAACTATAAAGCTTATTCTTGATGAAGCAACCAAATGTGGGGCACCTGTAGAGTCGCCGGGGCATTAAGACGTCAGCATTGACGACCAAGTCCTCGCACAGTATTTCTGCTTCACTTCTGGGCCAGAGCAGCATCAAGACGTCAGCATTGACGACCAAGTCCTCGCACAGTATTTCTGCTTCACTTCTGGGCCAGAGCAGCATCGTCTTACAAGCTACGGTCTCCAGACACTTGTAGTCGAGATTCTCCACGCTCATGTACAATTTGTCCATGCATCCAACCGATGACTCCTTGTTGAGGAGTCTGATAATAGTCCCCATTGGCAACGTCAAGAAGCTAAAAAGAATATCTACGAACTCCTTCTCTGATTCGGCAAACACCACCCTGTTCCTTTTTGTGTCCACGACGAGCTTCAACGTGACAGTAGGCATCTTGCTCAACGACGATTCCGAAGAAGAAGAGGCTTCTTTTGCTGTTATGACAAATACCCAAGAAAAACAAATAACGATCGGAGGAAAGCACAGAAAATATCGAGAAAACAAAACGCAGCAGATATCACTTACGTACGCGGAGATCTCTCCACCCTAAAACCCAGTACAATCTTTCCTATGAAACTAAGTTCTTCTCAGGAAACTTTGAAGTTCTCTGGCTATTTTTTTGGCGTTGTAATAAAGGCGTATATATAGAATTGACCAGGCCCAATTTGAATAGGATTAGAATACTCTTGGTGATCCAAATTAACTAAAATTTAAGTCCCTGCAAAACACAAATCCGAATTCTCATCAATTTTCTACCAATAGGAATTCAATTCCAGTTAGGACTTCAATCCAATTCAACTAACCCATCTCCAAAGCCAACTCAAACAGCAAAGTTCTCTTGGCGTTCAAACTCTCCAGAAGAAGGAAGTCATCGATATATACTACTCCAGTACTCACACTTTCTTCTTTTCTTGATTCTCTAAAGTCCTCCTTCAGTTATACTTGGAACTTTAGAAAGTGCGGTAATCCTCTGTTAGAATTTCTTACCTGCAAACCATTTAATTTTTGCTGTTTCTTTTGGCTCTCTTTTAAGTCTTAAAGATTGTTTTACCATATGATATGATGCAGAAAAGTCCTTTCAAATCTTCTAGATATTAGGAAGGCAAAAAATTGCTAAGTTGATTTCTATGCAGAACCCCAATTAAATAGCTTGTTTGAATCATATAATCTGTGTCCCCGTGTCAGGGACCAATGCTATCAGCACTATGCCAAGGATGGATACCACTCTCAATCCGTCAAGTATGGATACAAACCTGTCAAGTGGGAATGGACACGCAAGTTGAAGGGATGTTGTGCAAGATTGGAGGCCTAGGGGGTAATCTGCAAGTGCCTGTAACTACTGGGGTCTTAAATAATGTCCAGATCAGCAAAACTGTTTCTGTTGAATTCTGTTATGTTCGTTAGTTCCTGTGCACGTGCACGAACAGTGCACTTTTGTGTTTTTTGTTTTTCTTTGAGAGGAATGCAATGTATAAATAGTGAGATGTAAAGGATCAATTCTTATGAATGAAATTGAGCTTTCCTCTTCTCCTCAGTTCTAATCTCTGCTCATCTCCTCTCCTCACTCTTTCTATTGTTCTTTTCTTCTTGTGTATCATTTCCTTGAATCTTGCAGATTTACCATGGCTAGGAACAGCTCCCCCAGGGTGAGTCAAGGCTCTAGAGCCTCACACCCCGAGATGAACCATGATGTTATCTACATACACACTGCACATTATGCGTATCGACAAATTACTAGGCTGGTTTGTGGACTCTGAGCTGTTAAATTACAGGACTGTGGAAATATTTCACTATTTGCAAAGACTGCAGGCCGTCAGATATTAGTTGGTGCTTCCTGTTTCCATGCACTTCCA